TGTTTTTTTAAAGAGGTAACCAGTGTTTAATAACAGGCCAATTGCCTACACATGAACATAAACAGTTCATATGGGCGGCTTATCTGACGGCCTCATTTCACTCGCAAAGAGACACACTGTCAAAAGTGAAAATGGACGTTTTTGATATTTGTCTTAATAATGAGTAATTGCTCCACTAATCCTCAGACATTTAGCCATTCGTTGTGTCATGCTCCTAATCAACCGTCCAATCATGATTTGGGATAATCTGACCCACTACTCTTGCAGTGCCACGGCTATTTCTTGCAGTGTTGTCGGTTGACGTTGATGTCGACGAACACGTCTCCTGATCATGTCCCAGACATGCTCTATAGGGGAGAGGTCAGGACTTATGGCTGGCCAAGGCATATGGACAATATGGTTACGCTGGTGATGAAAGATGAAACGTCGACCTGTACGTTAAGCAAAGTGCACAACTATCGGTGCCAGGATGTGGTCACGTTAGTACACACCAGTGACCCTTCCTTGAACAATATGCAAGTCCGTTCTGCCAGACATGGTGATTCCTCCCAACACCATAACAGACCCACGCCCAAATCTGTCATGCTGTCTGAGTCTGACGTTAACGTTAGCATGGCGCTCATTTACACACCCCCAAACGCGAGCACGCCTATCATCTGAGAACATTTCAAGCGCCCATCGACGATTACCCCAATTTCTACGCTGTCTACACCATTGAAGCCTGTCTGCCATGTGCTGGCGAGTTAATGAAGGCTCAACATGCGGTCGTCGCGCATGCAAATGGGCTGCATGTAGCCGAGTTCTAATCGTTTGGCGTGTAACTCGAATTCCTGTAACTTGGTACAATTTTACAGAAAGCTGATTGGCGGTTTGTCCTCGATTTCGCAGGGCCTGTGTACGAATGTATCGATCCTGGGCTTGTGTAGTGGCTCTAGGACGACCTGAACGAGGTCTATCATCAACATTGTGTGTTTGTTGGTACCGGTCCACAGTCTGCTGATCACAGACTGTGACACATTAAGCATGTTGGCTACTGCTAGCTGTGTAGAACCCATTTGAAGCATGTCAATAGCACGTAGACGTTCATCATATTGAAGACGTCTCATTGCAAATTAAACGTAACACACTAAAGCAAAGATACGCTAAACAGTAAATCTTATGCAAGAACCGATAGGAAAGCAAACACGGATAAACTAGCACGCGGCAGTTTTCATCAACCCTTCCTTGAAGTGTCAAATTTGACAATGAACCCCTCCCACGTGTATGGCGCTATTGCGTGTCGCACGTGCAGCTCAGTGGTTCTGTTGGAGCGATAACCCCTGTGAAAATACTCTCAAAGTATTTATCGTATCACAACCTGGATAGGTATTTCCGTTTCATTATCCCCTACTTTTTTTGAAGAGAATATATTCATTATTATATGCGTTGCGACCAATTTGTGTCCATTTTTATGTGCCAAAGAATAGGGATTTAGCCCCTTTTAACAATGCTCGCGGATCTAGTGTGGTTCTTACAAAACTTTGAGTCACTTATAATAATAATATATTGTTAGTTTTCTATCTGCAAATCTTTAATAAACAGTTTCCTGACAATCAGATTCGTTTTATTTTAAGAAATAAACCCTGTCGTAAATTAAGTGGATGAGGTGTCAACGAGTAGGAATTAATACTTTGGTTGTATTCTAGACAACTTACTATGCAGAACAATATCCACAATATTTATTCACAGAAACTGGATTGAAGAACAGACAGAAACCTGTAAACTCCCTCTCCATGAAAATACAAACATACATATATATTGAAAAACATATGAAAGAAAGAAAGTATTGGGTCTACGTGTTATAGATATAATCAAATTATTACATGGCTATATACACTATTTCATTCATTCAGAAAAAGTTACAGACAGAAAACAATTCTTCAGAATTGTTCAGGTCTTTAGATCCGAATAATAAATTTTGAGGATTTTGATAAAATTGTGAACTTGTGCACCAGACTGTGCATCAGAATACATGGGGGAAAATTAAAAATAAAACGTTTAGAGTCCCCAAAGGCGTGACCACAGTCGCAAGTCAGAAATATATCTGCAAGAGAGTCGAAGGCGAGAATGGTGAATTTGAATTTTCCTGCTGCCAGATTTATAAATTGAAGGTATAAGTTTATCAGGCAAGCTGAGTTTAGATTTAAAAGAGGATATAGTAGGTATATTTCTGATAGAAAGATCGAGTTGATTCCATTCTCTAATTGTAGATGGGATTAAAGAAGAAGAACATAAAGAAGTTATGCAGAAATATGATATTTGACCATGTTATGCAATCCTCTACGAACCTCTTCGCATGTGTTCCAGCGAAGTTAGTGTTTTCAAAGAGAGCACTAAAGTAAACACTACAAGACATTGAAGTAAGCAAATCGGAAAGCGGATTTCATCATAGTAGCCGTGCCTCCTTCGGGCAATCAAGTTAAAACATACATCTTTGTAAAAGGAACTTCAATAGTTGACAGTGAGTAGCCAAACCACTTATATGAAATTATATAAATAGCGAAATGGGCCATTTTTCCTCATGGAAACTGTGTTTTCTCAAGATTTTGTCATGAACTGTTGGGTCAATCTGATGTTTTTAATATTTACGTGTTCTGGTAGTACCCCATCCTATATACCCATTTTTTTTTCAAATTATAAAAGGCAGCTGTAGCCCATCTGGCCAATGCTCCCGTGGGCGCGTTCTTAAAATTTCGTTCTCACGGACCTGTGAGTGTAGGTATGTTACTTTACATTACATTTAAGTATTAAGGTACTCTCCCTTTCATGTTTAGTATAATACGAATTATTAATATAGAAGATAGTATATGTATTATCATTAATTCATATCATTAATAAAACGAGATCACAGAGATGCACCTTGATTTATATCATCCTGTTAAACCACGTTAACTTGAAAAAAAACCTGAGCTCATTTAGTTAATCGGGAAACAAAGCGCTTTGATGCTTATACCTTTGACTCTTATCTATTTAGATGATAAGAGACTGAGGCTGACGTTAAAGGTCGGATCCATATTACAAGTCGAACGCTCTTAAAATACACCGAATTGCCATAATGAATTAACATTTGATAGTAAAACTTTGATGTCCTTATTTTCCTATATTTATCCAGTCTAATCTCTCTCATGTGAGCCTGTTTCCTCGAGATCAAGTCAATAACCCTAATAGCACAACACCTACTTCAAAGATCGTTTTTCATTTCAGATGATCGAGAAAACAACATTAAATTTTCTTAATGAGATATCCGGCAGAAGACGAACCAAGTTCGTGTTTCTGTCAACAAGTAGGTTACGCTTTTAAAGATATATTATGTTTGTGCATATATATTATTCGCACAAGACTACTAAATGATAAAGGCAATTTTACATATTACTACGATCTTATTTCTGTTATTAGTTTGGGTTTTTTTTACCTGGAGTTATTATATTTACTAAACACACCGGGAATGTGACAACACGATAAGATTTTAAAGATAATTATTAAAAATGCTTACCGAGAAATGGTCGGCAAAAATGAAGTAGTCAATATTATTTGCGTGTCGTTTTTGAAGCGGAAAACCGACAGCCATGGGAAATTCAACCAATAAAAAATGAACTCTTAATGAATGTTATGTTAAACATATATTTTGCCACACAGATTGAACATAATGTCGCCCTAGATTAACATAGACCACATGTATAAATGCGAAATTAAAGTATATATGTTATGTTCGATAACCTATTTCTTTGCATTCCAGACAACGTATTAAATTGAACATAATGGCGTTCTAGATCAACATAGATGCCAAATTTAAGTACGTGTGAGCTATGAGTAAGCATTTTTTGCATCTCCTGCATGATACCAAAAAGCAAATATTACTACCTAACTATTAAAATACATGTCTTTTGGTATGAATTCTTTAACATTTTTAAGTACTAGATAGGATTTGTGTAATTATGTCTGGGTTTATATCAAAATGTTGATTAATCAGAAGAAAAAATCTTAATTCATACAAAAGCAAATAGGCTCTACTAGGAATAGGAATATTTCGGGTTATTTTCAGGAAGAAAACATACTGATTTTTTCATTAACACCAAAATATGTTTTGAATAACCAACTTCTACATCATAAAAGTAATAATAGTTCTCATGTTCAAATATTATCAAGAAATGTTGTATTTAGTTGAAACATAATCACTGCTGAAGGCATTCACACAAAAGAAAGTTAATCAGTTGCCGAGACGATGTCTAAAAGACTTTATACTTGAAATCCTAAAATGTTATCTTTGAATATCAACATTGACTATTGGCAAACATCAACATGATTGAATAGGCGACATTTATTTTACAGTCGGCTGTAAATAACCTTAATGGCACGCAAAGGTCTTGGCCAATCCCTTGCGTTATGTAACGTTCTGAATTTAATTAACTCTTGTCGACAGTTTCTTCGTGTTGTGGTTTTATAAATGGAAGTCAGTTCAAATAAGCAACTGAAAAGTAAAGGTTATAACGATACTGAAAACAGGATGATTTTCCAGTTGATGATGCGTCATTCTGTGTATGGTTTACCATCCCATCGGGATTACAGTTTCTGGTTTCGTTATACTCCCGGTCTGGAGTCCATAAACGTTTTTTATTTTAAGAGTAGGCTAACTCAAATTTATCTGATCACATGTCCAGGGTAATATTACCTTATTGTTCTGGTGAGACTTGTGTAATGTCTCAAAAGGAAAACATTTAAAATTCAAAATGTTATCCCCAGCGATAGCAAAACATAATTGTAATTTGATTATTTGCACTTTAGAGCACATGGCTCTGGAATTAGATGAATGCATAATAGTATTAAGGCACATGCGCATGTATTATTAATCTTCCGAATTGGCTTATAGTACAAAACAGTCTGGTTGAACTTTATTACCAATAAAAACCACTAAATTAAACAATTATTTCTATTTCCCACAAAAAGGTACAAAATAAAAACAAACACACAATACATGTTGTCCTGGTCGAAACTGTATATTAACAAAAACAGATTGATAATTCAGGTAGTTTACCAAAATGTAATTCTGATGTCCAAACAGAAAGTGGTGGGAGATCTACCCTTTGTTTTCTTGGACACGTTATAAAAAATAATTTGGGTAAGTATCATGTTATTCGTGTCTTCAAATAATCCGGTGAATCATGGAAAGCTAGTATCTCTAATAAGTACGAGCGTACTATAAATCAACTCGAAGTCCGGCAAATAATTCGCAATTCTCCAAGGAACAAGCATGCCAATTGTCATGTCTCGGGTAGTTGAATTGGCAGAGCCTTTTTACGAAGAGGGTTGTCCCCAAAAAAGAAGGACAAGAAGGACCAGAACAACAAAATTCTTAGAGTTTATATATAATTTTTATAGCTAAGGGTTTTCTTTGAATTGTACCCCATAATAAATTAATTTATTTTACAACGGTTATTTTATTTTATTTATATACTATGATTTAAATATTAGAATTATATTTGCGCTTAAATCAACTCTGTATTCCACTATGGCGCAAGAATGACTGAACATTGCTGAACATTGAAGGTGACTTTTATCAATAATTAATTGGACATGGCAGATATCATTGATAACCTTAGTGCAGTAAAGGTACGTAAGCAACTAATTTGATTGAAGCTTTTTCATCCAGATTTTCCGGAGTGGTTCCCCCGCGTCAGTGATGCAGGACGGAGGGCCTGACAAGGACAGCAGTCTAGTCATTCGGATTAAACGAAAAACCGAGGTCCCGTGTACACATTGGCGTGCACGTAAAAGATCCCTTGACAGTTGGAATTCGATATAAGAGTAGGCCGTAGTGCCGCTGTCCGGGCAAAATATCCCTCATAGCACACTTCGGAGCAAACCAGTAGGACGTTAAACCCCATTTCATTTCATTTCATTTTTTGATTTAAGTTTACTGAACAACAATTTGATATTTGACATATATTACTAACCATGGGGTATTCAGTGATTTGAGATTGTACTTTTTAAAAACTAAATTGTGTATTCAAATCATTAAATAATCAATAACATTTGTAAATAATCAACTTTAATATAAATATAAACCTTTTCTGGTAGGTTTGGCTGGGCAGTGGCCCTCCATTTACTTACGTGCGACAGGGAACCCATGTGTCTTGATCCGGTATACTAGAGTAACGCTTGGGGTTCAGTTCATGGTCCAAAAATATATGGGAAATGGGTTACAGTGTGAATTTCCCCCAAAAAATTCATAAATTAAAAAGTAACCTATCCGATATCGTTCACGACAGTCGTCATTACTTGAAAGTCAGAAGATGAGGCTATTTTAATTAACTAGATAAGAACAGTGTCGCTATTGTTTGATTTAAACCCCATTCACAGGTATTTAGCTTCCCGTTCAACACAGATTTCACTTTTCCTTGAGTTTAGATAAACTACAGATCATAATCAAGAGATCAAAAAAAGGAAATCTGAGTTTTATTGCTCTACTTGCTACAGTCACATATTATATTACATTCAACATTTTTTATGAACTCTCTTAATATGGTTTTATAACAAGTCTCTTGATTTGTTCAAACACATCAAATTGTCACCAGACAATGACCAGGAGAATCTTATAAGTAACAATGCATGGTTTTAAATGCTAAAAAATAAAATCTTTTGTTAGAGGGTTTGCTTTGTTTGATTTATTGAAAATAGGTCCCCGTGCCAGCTTGTAGAAAGAGACAATAATATTATATTATAAGTATAAGAATGCAATCGACTAATACCAAAATGTCAAATATGAGCCGATCAATCATTCATAAGGATATATTCTATTTTTTAACTATTTATTATTCCTTAAAGCGCCATGTTGTCAGGTTGGTAGACAGATCCAATCTTTTCTACGATAATAATGCCATGATTGTTTGTAATGCTCTTTATGATTGATATTCTTAGAAACATTACACCACTTATTCATATTATACATCCCTCACATGGATCTATAAACTTGCTCCTTCTCCTCCATGGCCGTAACATTATGATTACGTAAACATAGTTGACTTTTATGGTATTATCTAAAGCTGGACAAATTCTACCTCCCAGTATAGACGTGATACTAATGTGGGATGGGTTTATACATAAGAAATAGGTCAAAAGATTAATATCAATAGATTATATCGATGGAAATCGTTCATTCTGTTCGCCTGACCAAACAGTATTACATCAAAATATCATAGATTTCGGGTGGTGAGAGATTTATGTAGACAAATCATCCCTATACATCGTAATGGTACTGCGAAATCATAATCAACAACTATTATATCTTGCCATCGCATTTAAGATACATATATATATATCTAGATAATAATAGGGATTTTAATGACTCCACACATAAGGAATCCCTTTTTCTCAGCTCGCTGCACCACATGCTCCCCACGTGGGCACGCGTCCTTTGATGTGTTTTGCATGGGAGTAATTGATTATTGCTAAGTAGTATTATAAACTTTTAATATTATTTCAGTCTCTTTGGAACTGTTGACAAGGACCTCACACATATTTGTCTGCTCGGTAACCTTTTTTGCCAAACTCTATAGACACGGTCCAGCATGGTCATATTTATTGTAACTTTCACCCAGGTTTGCAAATTACATTACTTATAAGGCTGCTGATAACATAATAATTCTCAAGAATTATAGAGATATTTTACAGTCGTTGTATTATAAAAGCTGTACATTGTTCATTGGGTTATTTTTCATATAAATATTGCCAGGTTTGCGGACTGACATACATAAATCGGAAGTCGTTTATTTATATCATGGTTTGTGGATTAATAATTATTATGCCGTTAATAACTCCAATACATTATAATTATATACAAAACATTTACTCAATTAGATAAATGCATACCAAAATATCTAAATGCAACAATATTATTAACACTGTGTATCAAGAACACTGAACTAAAAGATCTAACCATTCCTGCCTACGTTTGAAATCTCACCCAAGAGTTGTCATGTTTATTAGAGGAATATAATGTTTCGAATAACGACCATTTAAAAGATTTGCGCCATTTTTCAATGTCGCTGATGTCACAAATCCTAATTTGGTTCCATCTTGATAAAATCATTGTATTTAAATCGGAGTTTGAGAAACCTCATTTCATGCTGTTCTGGCATCACTGAAATAAAATGGTATAACAAACAATACCATTAAGATAGAGAAAGACATTGAAATCAAATAAATAAGGAAGGAAAACTTATCAACTACCTCAGCAACAAAGAACCACTGACGTCTCATAAACAGTGCGTGATCGTAAGCACTTTTAACGTTATTGTCGTGTTGGAAATTAGTATTTTGTAACATGGGTTCACAAATAACGTCATTTCTCTCAGAGGGTGACACAAATTTTCTGTTTCTGACTTTGAATCGGGAAGTATTTGTACTCGTGTAATCATTTATTACTGCGACCTCATTATCTAGATTGCGTGATTTGTCAGAATCCGCGTTAGAAATGGGTTCTTGGTTCTTGAAATGATGATTCTGAATGCAGGACTTAGAATCGGGTTCCATCACATCTTCATCCTTTTCTTCTACCCCAGGACAGGTGTCTTGCCAAACGAACTTAGTTAAAGCTATTTTGCTGAGCACTACATGACACAGCCATAACAACCATTTTGGAACATCCGGGCATTTTTCTTCTTCGCCTCGTTTTTTGATGTTCATTACTAAAGTAGCCATGATAAGTGATACACAGTTGAACGTCATGACCATAAGCAGGAACACACCTTAAAATAAAAGTAAAATATGGAGACTAAACTTTAATGACATTTTTGGATATTTAATAAATTCAGATGTTTTTGGCTAGTTATGGTATCATTGTTGATGAAATTTATGATATCTATGGTTGTGGGTGTGTTGCAGATGGCATGTACCTCTGCTACCAATGAAAACAACTCACCTAATATTGGTGTAGAATTCGTATCTGGAACATTCTCAGCTATAAACAACTGAACAACATACAAGGTTAAAAACACTGTTAAACCGATGGCAATCTTTTCTCCTTTATGGCACGGTAGGAAAAACGTGAAAAGAGTCATAAAACACAACATAATGGTCGGGGCTATAACAATATAGTCATAATATAATGATTTCCTTTTTACATGAATAAATACGCTGATAATAGAATGTGTTCCTCCGCCAGGGCAACAAGACCCATCGACAAGACTCCGGGTCACACTAACATTAATCAAATCATATTCACTGTTAACAACGTAGCTCGATATGTCCACTTCCGCTGGTTTTAAATGCATGTCCATTTGTGTGATGTCGTAAACCCATGACCCGAAGCGCAGTTCGCATTTCTGATAATCGTAAGGAAAATAAGTGACGTCAACACCACAGGAACTTTTTAGCATTATTGGTATCATCCATCTAATCAAGCCATCATAACGCACCATTGCCTTGCTTCCGGTGACGTTCACAAATCCGTCCAGATTTTCACCAGCCCTAAAATAAAAATATCCGTTTGTCTTAATGTTATCCTCAAAACGAACTTGAAGTAGTGGCGTGCAGAGGTTTGGTGATGCCCGGGGTCAGCTCCTTGATTGGACCCCCTCCCCACCCCCTCAAGACTCATTTGCAGCACCCGGTACTCAGAAATACGAGAAATGATAACATTTTAAATTTGTGAAAACAGATGAAAGTATAAGCTTTTTATTCAATTAAATAGGATATGTACAACAAAGTTAACAACGTTCAGCGATAATGTCAAACTTCAATTTTTGATTCCACACTTTGCTTGGATGCCTCATGTACCACTCTCTGCACGCCACCGCATAGGATGTATTTATGGAGTGAATTGTACTATTTATCCAAATAAAAGACACGATAACTGTAGAGTATATATGTAAATGGTCGGAATTCCCGCACCTCTTTCCATTTCAAAATTATTTTCTAATTGCACCTTGAAGTCCTTGTTAGTGATCATGGGGGCACTGATGTTGTATATAAGCTAGGAGACTTGCAAATTCCAAATGTTCAAAATCCTGCATCCTCACCCCGAGTCTATTTCAAAATTTAAAATGCAACGAATAATGACAGTGCTAGATTTAGGTTATTCAACGTATGAGGCCCCTCCCAATCCTCCACGCTCACGACTACCGGAAGATGGAAGTGCATTTTAAACACTATTGAGTCAAACCAAGAATGATGACGATAGTGCGACTAAGAAAGGCTTATGACAGTGTCCACAATATTATACACCTTGATCTCAGGTTTTAGTGTTTGAGGGGGGTTGGATGGCTGAATGGTTAACGTGCGCGTGCTGTATCATAAAGTCTGTCATTGAGTCGACTGGCGTGGTTTCGAATCCCCGGTTGTACGTGACAAGGAGTAGGGTCGCCTGTCCAACCTCGTGGGTTTTCTCCGGGTCCTCCGGTTTTCTCCCACAGCTAAAGACCCTTACGCGCAAGCGAATTATGTAAATAAAATTAAAACCATATGTTAGTCCCGAAATGACCTAATTTGTGTCGAGTGGACGTTAAACCCCATTTCTCTCTCTCTCTCTTTAGTGTTTGAAGCCTGTAGGTAAATCCGGCACGGCATTCAGAATTGATTGGAGGCAGAATGGTTCCAGTGATTCAGGGGAGACAACTACAAAAGATCGACAGTGCTCAGACTAGTACATCTCCCATTAAATCCATGCCGTTCCTTGACCTATAAAGTTTTTTGAACATTCCGATGGTCTTAATCTGTATAACCACAAAAAGCCCTACTTGGCACGATAATCTGATAAATATATTGAAGAATGTGGACCAGCTTGATTTTTGCTAGGAATATCTATGAGTTATGGTGTCGTTTTGTATGTGATTTCCCAAATTTAAAATCACGACTATTCACCCAATTATTCAATTCTAGACCAAAAGGTTAACAAAAATGCCATGAAAAAGGGGAAAGGGGGGAATGAGGGAATTGCTATAAATATACGGAACGGAAAGGAAATGAAATGGGATTTAATGTCCTACTTTTCTGCATACGGGTGTAGTTTGCTATGATTAAGAGTTTTCCCGGCCTACTATACTGAGCGCCATGGAAAACGCATCACTTTTTTTTTATTACTAGGTGGTTTTGTATGTATAATATTATGTAATACTATGAACTATTGTTTCACACAATGCTCCCAAACGCAAAAAATATCGGCCCGTGTGCTAAAAAAAAGATTGCACGAGATGCACATGAAAAACCCAATATTCACGTGCAGCATTGTGTGTGAGCCCTTTAAAAGCATGTTTTCAACTTAATGTGCAGTACATGAACTGTGAAATGTCAACCTGTCGTAATTTAGTGTTGGACGTGTGAAGGAATCGAGCTAGAGATGCCGAGACTTACTGAAAATCAACGGAATGAAGCCATGGGAACGTCCAGGGCTGGCATGTCTACACGTGCTATTGCCAGACACTTCAATTGTCATCAGTCCACTATTGTAAGGTTGGTGGAACGTGTTCCAGTTACTGGATCAACACGTGACCGTCAACGTCCTGGTCCACAACGCGTTACAACCCAGGCTCAAGACCGCTACATCCGGGTCACTCATCTGCGTGACAGATTCCGCCCAGCGACTCGAACAGGTGCAGCAGTCGTCGGAAGACAAGGACCAGTAAGTGCCAACACCGTAAGACGTCGTCTAAGAGAAGTAGGACTCCGTGCACGACGACCTTATGTTGGAGCTATCCTCAGGGATCATCACCGTCAGCGGCGTCTGATATGGGCTCAAGGACACCAGACATGGAGAAGAGTAGACTGGCAAAGTGTGCTCTTCAGTGATGAGAGTCGCTTTCATCTTTATCACGCTGATGGCCGTCAACGTGGGTGGAGACGTTTTGGGGAACATCTTGCAGACTGCTGCGTCTTCGAAACGAATCGATGGGTCGGGGGAAGTGTAATGGTGTGGGGAGGCTTCACATTTCATCACCGGACCGCCCTACACATTTGCAGGGGTCGCGTTATTGCTGTAGCCTATCGTGATGATGTCTTGCAACCAATTGTTGTTCCGATGTTTCGAGCGCACCCACAACTTCAGCACTTCCAACAGGATAATGCACGTCCGCATAACGCCCGTTTTAGTATGGACTACCTGGCTGCTAACAACATCAATGTCTTGGACTGGCCAGCCATGTCTAAGGACTTGACACCGATAGAACATGTCTGGGATGAGATTGGAAGCCGTCTGTATCGGAGACCACAGTGGAACACCATTGCTGCTTTAGAAGCTGCTCTTGTCCAAGAATGGAACAATTTGCCCCAGGCCTTCTTTCAAACATTGGTAAATTCCATGCGACGTCGCTGCACAGTGTGCTTAAGAGCCCGTGGAGGACACACGCGCTACTGACATCTGTGTCGTACTTTTGGTTTTGACCCCTCTGACTTTGTACCGTTGATTACAGATTAAACATCTGTAAGTGTACAAATGTGTTGTTATTGATGTGTTCCCATTTGAATATTGTTCTCAATAAGAAGCAAAATAAATAAGATATGTTTACAGGATCATTTTGTTATACGAAAAACTAAGTGATGCGTTTTCCATGGCATTATATCGAATTCCAACTGCAAAAGGTTCTTCTAAGTGCTCGTTAACGTGTGCACAGTTTTTTCGGTTTTTCATTTCATCCGAACGACTAGAAGGTGCCCTTGTCAGATCATCCTACCTGTACCACTGACAAGGGGAGAAATTTTTCGGCAATCCCGTCATGGAACCCATGATTTCCTGATTAGTGAGCCAGTGCCGTACCCACTGGGCCAACGCGGCTCACATTACTAGGTACCGAGATAAAGGGGGGTAATAACTAATCCTAATTCGAATGCAAGCCTGAAAAGACGCAGACACTCGGCAAACCTCGGTAATTCCGGTACCCTACATCTAACCTCGGCTGTACTGTCAAGTACCCGGATTAAATATGACGGCGCCCATGAAGACGCCTGTGAAGAGTGATTTATCTAAAAAAAAAAACTGTATATAATATATTGTTTGTTATGTACTTTCTTGATTCTCCGATTTTCTTTTAACAAAGGACAACTTTGCAATGAAAACTCTACACAATCTTCGAACGACGTAATAAGTAAACCGGTAGCCGTATCACAATTGTATGGGTGTAGCTACATATCACTTACCAATCTGTTTTACAGAGTATTACGAAAGTCTTCTAATATCTCTGTAAAAGATGAATGCCTTCGACACGTGACATCATATCACGCGGGTCAATCACTGGCTCAATGACGCCTGCATTGTTTACGTAAGACGTTACTGGTTCGGGCGAAATGATGCCTGTTACTCATTTTAATACCCATTTACACAAAACAGGACATAATTTTTACCTACAAATACTTCAAACGTCTTTATTTATTTTTCTAATACATCAAAAAAAATGTTTTAGAATTTAATTTGTCCGAGGAAAAAGGTTAATATTTGTGGCTCATTAAGTCGCATCGATGTCATCTTTATCAGTGATTGTAGCGGCCTAGCAAATATTCACTTCTGATCAGTGTGATCACTTACCTTCATACAGCCGAAGCTAGATATGGTACCGGAGTCTGCTGAGGTTTGCCGAGTGGTCGTCATAAGTCGAAATCTGCCAGTGGCAGTAATGGAGGTTATCGTCAACACTACACCATTAGGTAATTTAATTTATTGATTCTCTTACAAGCAGGAAACCGGAGAACCACAAGAAAATGCCCTAACATGCACAGATCTAATAACTTTGGGGTACGATTTAGGCTACATATCATTTAAATGCATATACATTACTTACGTATTAAAGAGAAATACATCGGGGAGCCATATTCTAGTGGATGGTATGATCAGCGTATCTAAACCATTATATTTATCAGGATCCCATTGAAGATTGTCATCGAACCATTCCTGGCAATATAAGGACATCTGTTTGTAATGTATAGAATAATAGATTTAAAAGCATTTTTCGCGTACCAAACGCTAGTTCTACCAACTTTGTGGTGATACATTCAAAAGTGCCAGTTCTATATATGTATTTAGTCAATAACCTTAAAGGCACTTATACATACACCTGCTGTATGTCGTTGGTGTCCAAACTCATTTTGTTTATAGCCACAACAATCCAGATCTTTCACGAAAGTCAAAATATTGTACACAAAATAGCATAATAATTCCATTATTTGCCGAGGGCATAACGATGGCCTTGTGAAATCCACAGTAATCCGTGTAAATTTTTAATTTGGGGACAAAAAGAAAACCCATTAAATTTTCGATTTCATCGGATTCTATATGTTGATTTGATTGTGGGATGCCAATCTGTCTTTGTTCGTTGAAAATTTTACGTCTATTGACTATCGACACTGTAAGCCAAAAATTATGCTAAAATGAGCAAACTAGCCGATTTCTGCTTAAACTTTCTAAGCCTGTCCCAGGAATAAAACAAATCAAATCAACAAAATTCAATACTTTATTTTGTCGTAAACCGAATGATTTTGTTAGCTCCTTTAAATTCTAAATGAATGATTTGAATACTTTTTTGACCACCAAGCTATTGCGTATGATTGAGTATAATGGTTTAAAACTTTCAACTTAACTTTTATTCTGGTCTGTTGGAACTTTAAAACCTAAATACTTCATTACATAAACAACAAACAATTAGACTGAAGTGCCATTTATATTCCTTGGTAATTTTGATGGCTATATTGTCATTGAGGGGGACGAGGAGGAGTTAGGACTAGAAGCCCCAGTTTTTCCAAAATGAATTGCGAATTCTCACACCGACCGACCGCAACCTCCACAATGGAAGACTCTACATTATGCATTGGTTGAAAACGTGATTATAGATGGCTCACATGCGACTTGCATATTGATAGTTGTGTTCAAGACAATACCACCGGTTACCAAAATCGCATGTTGGCAAAAAATAATCGATGGCAAGTCTATTGTTTGCATACATTATTATGTAAGTCACAGAAGGGCCGACGTAGTTGTAAATGATTACCAATTGCCTTCCAGAGACAAAATGGATTTCATCCATCACATTAGCTATAACACGGTTTTTAAGAAAGTCAAATAATTGTGTCATTGGACAATCCATAAATGTGGGTTAATTTAAACACTCGTTTATATTTCGTGAACAAGCAAAAATTATGCAGATTACTAGACCTATATTTAGATGCGGATAAAATACGGACTTTAATTTCTTATAGATATAGATCACCTTTAAGGGGATGATTATATAACAAATTGTGTGGGTTTATAATATTATAATAATATCATAAACCCACACAATTTGTTATATAATCATTCACATAAAGGCGATATATATGTAAGACATTAAAGCGCGCGTGAGTCTATTTGATGAAATTAAGAAATGAAATCCCCAAGGATTGATTATCATCTCCAGAACAATATGCTTCAAGGGCGTACGGGGGTGTAAGACGGAACAGATGTCTTTCAAATTAACAGTCAGATGTAAATAATAGGGTGTTATTGTAAAAGCTGTTCTTCTTTAATTGATAAATCTCGGTTTCTACATTTACTTTTAGTCTCTACGGGATGCTTAAATTATTTGTTTATTGTGATAAGACGTGATCTGGAATGTATAAGATCTTATTATATAATCCTATGCTAACCTCATATATCCATACAGCTGAGGTCAGGACTTGACGTTTTTCTTCCTGTAGGTAGAAGATAAGTAAAAGATAAATATAATATTTAGGCTAAAATATATGTATATCTTACACATTCGTAAATATTATTTAAGTTACAAGGAGCCGAATCCTGATACAGCAGCATTTAGCCAACGATATGAAATCATATAGAAACTTATAAAAGGTTAAACAATGACATGACTTTCTAAAATTCCCAAATTAGCAGATACGTATATTGAATAGCATTACACGCTTTAAAAGAACCAGTATATGAAATGGGGTTTAACGTCCTACTTTTCTGCACCAACCAAACAAATGAACATGGGAATATGCCATGAAGTATGTAGTGGGGGGCGGGGCGGGCGGGTAGCGGCGTGTCTGTCTACTCCTCATCGAATGATAAACGCCAAGGTTCTTTTATTAGTTTTCCGTACAACCCGAACGACTATATATACGATGTTCCTAGCCAGGCCCATCCGTCGTAAACCATCGACATCGTGACCCACGAGGTTGGACAGGCGACTCTATCCCTTGTAGAAACCACGCCACTCGACTCAATGACAGACCTTAGTGATCTAACGCCCCACTCCTCCTTAAAAGAACAAAATAACATTGATTGGTTTATGTTTCTATATGTATATGGAAAACAAATTAATGTAGTCAGCCTTTACAAGACAAATTATTGATAGCCTATGCATGTATTGCTAAATATTTTCGTAACCTCCTAAAGCCAGAAATAGGCAGGAATTATAAAGTTTCCGAAAAAGAAAATCACAAATTCGTGTGTTATATATCTATATATCATAAAATCGTATCTTGTATAGAAGGAATAGAAAGGGTCACCGAAAGTCAAGTCTCTAGTCGCAAGTTTTGTTTGCCGTTCACGCTTTCGGGGGAATCATTTAACTGACCATGAACACGTCATCGTGTCTGTGATATGAATGCAAATTTCCACATAACATGGCGTCAACAGTTCAAGGAATGGTGGTGTCTTTTTGTTGTGTTTTGTTCAACGGTGTCTAAATGTAATTCATTATGATCTTATAATATTATCAAAATAATTATTTTACCGATCAGTCAACATTCCCATTTGCATTTATTCATGTAAAAAGTTTAATCAAAATTGTCTGGATTTGTTATGCAGATGGTTATCAATAATGACATAATCCGTATTCATGACAACGGTTGCAGACAAACCAGTCATCATTATCTGGGGGGAAATTTGCATTGATATCTTTATTTTATATTACAGTGTGGAAAATTGGCGTCTTCGTCGAGACAATGATTCCGGTCTGATTTCCACAGATTCCGTTTGAAATGTCTCATAAAGCTGCCATTGATTCCTGGTTTTGAAACTCTTAGGTCTCTGATCAACAATACTTTAATCAACTACTAACAAATTTTGGTGTGTGCGTGTGGGTAATTTCAACAGATCTCGCTTGAAATGTCCAGTACAGCTCGCATTGAGTCCAGTTTATGATCTCTGGTCTTTAATCAACTGGCGGGTTTACGCGTGTGTTCGTGTAGTAGGGGAGGGGTGTATGTAAAGTATACAGGTCTGCTATTGACTATATTTACCAGATCAAGAATTTGGTTCAATGCCAACCCAAAATCAACGTTCAGGGCCTCGCTAGCATTTCTAATTGGACGAGCACCGTTGTTATAGTTGGTAAAAAGATCTCGATACAGCAGGTACTCTATGCCATGCTTCTTATCTGAAAAGAAGAAAAAAGGCGAAATCTAAACTCGGTTTATCTGATTATGCTTACTTTTCAATTTATTTTCAATTATTCACATGCCGTGGAAATTACAAAACTTGATGATAAGTTATCATAAAATAATTCCCCGCTATATTTAATCTATATTTGTAAGATTTGTTGTTAAAATGATGAGTCAAGCCAGATTACTGTTAATGTTACATCACTTTCAAATACTTCCGCCGCAATCCGTTTAATATTACGTTAGTTATATTGATTTTACAGTATACCGGAATGGCAAATTATCGGTTCTATAAACAAATATTTACATCTGATTTACACATTACAAACAAGTTGAGATAACAATTAGACCGTATAATACAATCTGCGGCTAGTATTGAATTCGAGTATAAATAGAAACAAGTGTGAATTCTTACAGCTTTAAAAGGAGATATGTCATGATAATAGTCGTGGAAGCTGAAATACATGATATCGGGTTTAAAGTTCCACTGATCTGTTCCGACTGGGATTATGAAGACGGGATACGTTATATAGTGTGCCAGTGTGCTATGAGTGAAATTTTGCCCTACTCTTATATCAAATTACAGATGCCAAGGGTTAATTTACATGCACGCCAATGTGTACATTGGGATCTCTTACATGCACGTTGTCCCTTACCAGGCCATACTGACAAGGGGTAACCATGTAGTAAAACCAAGATAAACTAGTTAGCGAGCCAACGTCTTATTCATTGAGCCACTGCGGCTCATCGCGCGCTGAAATAAGAATGATTTATAACCCTGTATTAGGGAGAAATTGGAGAGAAGTGCAGCATGATTCAGGTCAATCTCATTAAAGTGAAATCTTTGTTTCGTTCCGTATTATTTTATGGAGCTGATCAACCCGAAGGAATTGCCTAATGTGGAAATATGGAAATTTGCGATCTTTGAACTACCTGTTCGCTTGTAATTATGAAAAGTGGAGAGGGAAAGGGGGTAGGGAGGGGGGGAGCTGCCATACACGCATATACAATGTAAGTACACCACTAATTGAAACGGAATATCCCTATTCAGTCAAGCTAGTATGGCATACATAGTATCAGACAATATTCTGTACCAAACACAACATAAGAAGATTACACCCATTTTGCTATTTCCAAAATTTAAATCGATAAAAGCATCTGCATTTAGGCCCGTGTTATATAAATAGTGCAGTTTAATACTAGGATTAAAGTCTGTGTTTACCCACCTGTGAGGAGACATTTTACAACATTATGTACACTAGACACAGCGATCAGGACAGCCAAAATCCTAAGCATCTTGAAATACGATATCTACTTTCTTAAGCTACAAAAAGATCATCCAAAAACAATGAAATCCCTGTAGACAACAACATATAACATGGAACCGCTACCAATATCCATCTTCCTGTATCTCAAAATGGCGCCGTGAATCCGTTATAGTAGTCTGCTGTGTTCTATATCTGCGCGGCTGATGGTTTGGCTTAGATGAAAGATTTATTGATTGACCACGAGCGAACAGTATACAGATAACAAAATCTTCTAATTAAGTTTAAGCAACCCCATTTTCTACTGGTAGCCCCACAATATTTATCACCACACTATGGGGAATAACCAATTATTCACAAAGTTATTAACTTCACATTTACATCGATTTCACAGACTGCAGGTGGTTTCAAATTAGAAGAAATAATATACATGTGTAGCAATGGTTTTTGTTTTTTGTTTTTAAATGATTAATATTTTACAATATCGATAATATAAATCGAGATCCGCCACCTGTTTATTTTCAATAATAATCTCTAAAAAATATGAATTAAATAGTCCTAGCAATTTTTAAGGCTAAATGAACGGCTTATATGAAATACTATAGACCTATACACTACTCGGCAGGTGAAATAATATATGACATAAAAAAAACATATCACACATTAATTATACACTGATTAATTGTGATTGTTAAATAGCACTCTAGCAACACGATAAATCAAAACGGGTAGCCAAATCTAACCGATGCAGTTTCTCTCTCCGTGAGGAACCGAGCCACACGAGGTACCGTCCGTGTGTACTAGCCGTACCTCAATATTTGGTAGGTAGTCTAAATAAATCATGTTACCTTTGTTTAAAGAAGGTTTAACCTTTATTGAAGTCATTATAGGAGATTGTGCCTATAATGAAGGATTAGAAGTGGGATAAAGTTTGTGACCTTTTTTTATAAATTGACAAGGATATGTAAAATAGTTTTACACCAGAAATGAAATTGATGGAATGAATCAGACCTGAGATATATTTTTTTTTATCACATGAAGGTTCGATCCTCCAGCAAAGTTCTTGACTTGTTTTTAGAAAGTGGTTAAAATTCCTACAAAATACATGTATTTATTGTTATAAATTGGCTATCTAAATCATGTCAAGAAGTCCAAGATCTTATCTCGCTATCAGTATCGTGAACGATTTACCGGTCGTATTTACACCAACGCTCGTTATTTTTCGCAAGTAATTGAACATGGATATCAGAGGAAATCCAGAAGTTTGGAAGGCTTAAGCCATGTAATTATCCTAATCTGGGACTATACAGAGCAACATATTATTATGATCTAATGGTTCATTTATGGCTCGAATCTTTATATTTGGGGTTTAACGCGTGTGCGTGAAATCACAAGATCTGTCATTGAGTCAAACGACGTGGTTTCTATTCCCCACTTAGATGTGACAAGGAGTATAAGCGTCGCCTGTCCATCCTCGTGGGTTTTCTCCGGGTCCTCTCTTTCTTTGTATATTATACAGAGCATCATATTATTAATTATGATCTAATGATCCATTTTATGGCTTGGTTCTTTGTATTTACACGGTTACTAAATACTGATACCGTTATGAACTTCAGACTTCTGGGGGAACAGAGAAATAGCCGTGGCCAGCAGACGCGAAAGCCTTAATCAATGTAGTAGTCTCCCCTTATCCACACCGCACAAACTGATTCGAGAGAGAAATGAAATGAAATGGGGTTTAATGTCCTACTGTTCTGCTCCTATGCTGGGCTAATGGAGACTGGCATACGCCATACAGTGTGCTATGAGGGAAATTTTGCCCGGGCAGCGGCACTATCGCCTACTATTCAAAGAACTAGACAGCTGTCCTTGTCAAGCCCTCCGTCCTGCATCACTGACAAGGGGGGAAGCACGGCGGAAAATCTGTGTAAACTTTCTCGGCAAATGCAGGGATCGAACACCCAACCTCCAGGCTAGCGAGCCAGCGTCTTACCGACTTAGCCACGTGATCCCCGATTCGAGAGAGAGAGAGAGAGAGAGCTTGACGTCCACTAAACATAACTAGGTCATTTCGGGACTAACATATGGTTAAATTTTATTTCAGTAAGAGTCTTTAACAGTGGGAGGAAACCGGAGGACCCGGAGAAAACCCACGAGGTTGGACAGGCCAAACTGATTCGTTTGAGGGCATATCATATTTTTCTTTTTGCGCTTTCTCTAAGTTTGTATGCCCAATAAATATATCAAAGTGACTTTCTTTGACACTTTTTAGTAGTATATCTTCACGAAAACAATATAAAATTCCGTCCATATGAATGTCACGCGTTGAATTGATAAGCAGCTAATAATGTTTTATTAAAGGACATTGTAAACGAGCTTTTATTTCTTGGTTCTCTAAAGAAAATCGGCTAGACATTAAAAATTAAAAATATTAATTTATCTTGATCTTATGATGATTTTAAATAAAACATTTTGATACCTTAACGAATTATCATCCAGTTTGTATTTACAAAATAAATCATTTTTATTTTTACATTCACAGAGGAAGAATGTTGAATCTTTTTTATCATTCAAGCGTGTCGGACATTTTTAATTGATTTTGATCTTATCATATTGCGGATAGAGGCCCATCAATCAAATAACGCGCATTTATATTACTTCACTGTCAAAATAATGACGTATCTATCGGCAGCCAAACATACTAAAAAACAATGTGTGATATAAATATAATTTTGTTATGCAAAGGGATTTTGATCACCCGTGCATTGTTTTAAAAATAATAAAATGCAGAAAACAGTTAATTGTAGAACGCATTTTTCTTGAAAGCGTTTGTAGTATACCTTCACCTATCTATATGCTATTAACGATGGTAAATATATTAACCAATCAGAAGCGAGTATCTGTATAAAGTGCGTGGTTAACGGCGAGCAATGTACGGTACGAGTGGTTGATATACACCTAAGGGATTGTATACAACTGGGGTATATACGAATTCCCGTCTATTATTAGATAAAACTTGGATTATCATGACCCATACTATGAAATGTTAGATTTGGAATAACCACCGTTGTGATAGGTAGCAGGTATGTACATATGCACTATAATGTATTATGTCTCCATAAGATCGACAAGAAATGAATATCCTACTCGGCGAATCATTTGTGACTTTCCTTGTCGTTTCTTGTAAATGATTTCAGCCAGGAGTTGAATATAATTCTCAATGTCACTTGCTTATTTACCACGAATAGAAGAGTAACATTTAACACTGACTAAATTAGTCAAAACATAACAATGTAGAATTGTATGTACATAGACTCCGTTGTAAAAATCACGAAATGTTTTAGTCACTGTATTTCGTCTTTCGAATAATACCATTGTACAGCTTGGTAACTCCTGTGTCTACATGATGGAACAAGCACCCAAGCGTATCAGTTACTATATTTAATAAATATCATACAGATATTGTGTATACTTTTGAAATGTTAGTTATAATTGTGTAAACCTTGATATTATATGAACGAATAGGTGTATGGTCCAATACCCACAACTGAATATACATTGTTTAGATTTTAATGTATAATATTTCATTATGTATATTACCTAGCGTATTAAACAAAATGCCATATATCCTATGTGTATACAAGGCAGTGCTGTAATAATGTATATTATAACATACATAATATAAACTATTAATGATAATATTATCAAAGGCCAGGGCTATTATTAGTTGAACTGATTGTGGATTGAATGTTTATTTAACATAATCTGACTGTAGGATTATATATTGTAATAACATGAATGATAAATCTCAAATAATTTGGAATGATGTCAGCTGTACTAAATAGTAAGTGCAGAAGAACCACACTGCACATAACAAGAAACCAAGAAGACAACACATGGGCAAAAGCAAAATAACGATCTATCAAAACAAATGAATCATTCTCTGGACCATCTATAAAGTTTCTACTGTGCCAGGCCTATAATGACACAGGATTTACCATGGCAGAGTTTTTATTGCTGTGACAAAATGGCTATGCCAACACAGAAACTCATCAAATATATTCCGACTTAAAGGTGCTAATTGGTATTTTCATTTATCGGAAATATCAAGGATTAATCCACACTAACTGATTATTGACCATTACATTTAGAAAACAAAATCAAAATGGTTTGGATTCAGTCGGTTTAAAATAAGAGAATCAAAATGTCATCAGTAGATAATCTCCCGGCTTGGATTCATTCGGATTACAATAAGGCGCATAATATTTTTTGCACAAGGTGCATTGTTGGCGCAGGCTTTCATTTGACAATGTCCCATTTGTATCATCTTCAGAGGATGCCTTATGTTGACAAGTTTGTCACCAAAAGGTCAGCATTTATTTATAAGGATGGTGAACCATGAACATGATATTTCTTTTATAATAGTTACAAGATTGATCTTTCAATATTTTAGTTCACCAATGTGTATTTCAAATGAATAAATTGCAATTCGATATAGATAAATAGCATATATACGTGTATAAGTATATAACATCTAAACACATGTGATCTACATGTATGATGTATCATGTATGTATTAAGACATTTAACAATAAAGAGGTCATGATGACAAGCTATAGAGAAAGGAAGTGAATCGGCAACACACCCATTTACTGCTGTGTTGGCCTATCAAGTATAATTACTTCTGTTTGATCAGCCATCCATGTTAAAGTTATGGAGTAGGTCCACGTTTATATGCACTGCAGCTAATATATATAATATGCAAGTAACAAACTTTTGTTGATATTCACTGTAGATTAGGTTAATCATGCATGATAATTCATGCAATTTATGGATCGATGTATGTTACAGATAATAAAAACTCTAGCTACGTTGTTCAGCTTAATGTCTGCAAGCAATTGCTTTCAACTACCGGTACTTGTAGGTTGTAAGTGTGCTGGGGGGTTGGATGGCCGAATGGTTAGCACGCGCACGCTGTATCATACGGTCGGTCATTGAGTCAACTGGTGGGGTTTCGATTCCCCGGTTGTACGTGACAAGGAGTAGGGCCTGTCCAACCTCCGGTTTCCTCCAACTGCTAAAGACCCCTACGTGCAAGTGAATTATTTAAATAAAAATGAACCGTGTGTTAGTCCCGAAGTGACCTAGTTTGTGTCTAGTGGACTTTAAACCCCATTTCTCTCTCTCTCTCTCTCTCTCTCTGTAAGTGTGCTTACGTCTAACAAATCAGCAATTGAGGGCAACTAAGCACAGATGAATTCAGAGCGCTTATGTCGACTCAGAACTGATAGTGATTAAAGTCAGTTGAAACCAGTTTCCAAAACGTAGTTGCACTCAATTGTAAGGTCGACATAAGCCCAGCTTTAAAGACTATAACTAAGCTTATAACACCAAGAAATTAACTGATATTGCATATTATGTCAAAACATTCAAAATAAGTCTCAATTATCAAAAACTGCACACCTTCCCTTTGTAGAACAATGTTTTGTTTAAAACAGTAATAATTATTGTAGGTAACTCCCAGAATCAACATTTGGCTGAGAGCATGTATGACACAGCCTTTCTCTTTAAACCAGATCCTGTACAGATGTGTTTAATGAATAAGTTAACAAGGTTGTCATTGAAATGTTTATCTTGATAGAAAGTAATTTAAGGCACTACTGATGTTTAATCAGGTTAACATATCATCATTACCATGTGGCAATCATCTTGTCATTTTTGTTTTTATAAGAATTTAAACATTTTCGAATTTTGAATAATCACAAATATATTAATGATATTTCGTTTCTTGATCATCTATTTACTGGTACTAACAATTTCCAGTTGCCTTACATGTTCTTGATACTATATGATTTTGAATTTGATAAATACATGTTTATTTGATATTTGCAATGCATGTCGAACCACACATGTAGGCCTATGTTTTAGTAGGAGCCTGTATTGTTTATTTAGACATGTTGAATATTCTAAAAATAGCATCTAGTGTCATCATAGTGATAGGAAATGATTGTAACCAGACAATATTATATAGTGAAAATAAATACATATAGTACAGAATGATACGCATATATTATCCTCAACAGGATTTATCAATTTATGTCACTGCTGTGAATTGATGTGGGTGTAGGTTTCATATTATATACTGTACATATTATACATAATTAGTATATAATTAGTCATTAATGTAATCAAAAATGAACTGTGGCTTGGGTCCATTGGATTAAAATGGACAATAAATTTCCACATACAGGTTAATATATTTTCATCTACTGTATGCACTACTGGCCTAATGATTTTTTGATTTTTTTTCAGATGCGCACCATTTTTGGATTCCCTTTCTTTGGCACAGCTAATGTGCATGGTTATTAATTATGTTGAATTATTTGAACTAAATGATTTTGTTTTTCATTATTTTAGGTCATAATAAAGATGTCTTCTTTAAATTGTTGATGATATGAAGTGGAGGGTGTAGTAGAAGTGTCATCGACTGCCATGTTGAAGCAGTTGATTAGTGTGTCTGTTTATGTTTTTAGTTCAATATGGCGTATCGAGAGGTACATATTCCACCCACTACAACCCAGATTATACGTCGGCAGAGTATGGAAACGTACATGATTCGGATTTACAGTGGTCCGCTCAGTCAGGAAAGTGAATATGTCTCCGTAGAGGCAGAAAAAAATACTTGTGCCATTGACATAACCCGAGTCGCGGTACAAAAATTGAAATTAGGCAAAAGTGATAATTATGAAATAGCTGAAGTCTTTATTTCTGGCGACCAGTTGTGCAAAGAACGGAGATTAGAAGTCATGGATACACCAGTCGGAATTCAACTTCTCTGGCCGAAGATCATTAATGCGGATATCGACAGGGGTCAAGGTCTATTGACAGGTTACAGGTTTTATTTGCGGAAAAAAGATCCTGAAGTTTCTTGTACATCAGGATGGGTAGAATGTAAAGACACAGATAGGTTTTTAATATCTTTTCTCAACCAACCAAAAGGAAACAAGGAATATACAGATTTGTGTAATTTGCCAAATCTCAATGAGATGACATTGTTGGAAAATTTGAAATCTAGATTTAAGAATGATAATATTTATACCTACGTAGGATCTATTCTTATTGCTGTGAACCCCTTTAAATTTTTCCCCATCTATAATCCCAAGTATGTCAAAATGTATCAAAACAGAAGGCTGGGGGAGTTACCTCCCCATATATTTGCAATTGCGGATGCAGCCTACTATACCATGTTACGGACTAAAAAGAATCAGTGTATTGTGATATCGGGAGAATCGGGCTCGGGTAAAACGGAGAGTACAAACTTATTATTACATCATCTTACTGCATTAAGTCATAAAGGATTACATGGAAGTGGTGTGGAACAAACTATTTTGGGAGCTGGACCTGTTTTAGAGGTATGTATTAAAATGACCTACTGATACATTGTTGGCCTTAATGGATAGTACTTTGCTTGTAAATGTAGGCCTGTTTAGTCCCCATATTCAAAGATTTCTGTACAAACATTGGAAAAAAAGATTACGTATTAGTGCTGGATACTTTTGGTGTTCATTTATGTGATATCATCAGGTTTATAGAATAATCGCAATCAGTAACAATTAGTTACTGAATATTTTTTGACATGAACACTTAATAATGATTATTTCGAATTCCAATTGTTAAGGGTTCTCTTACGTGCACGCCAATGTGTACACGGGACCTCGGTTTTTCATCCCATCTGACTGACTATACGTTGTCCCTTGCCAGGCCCTCTGTCCTACACCACTAACAAGGACGAACTTTCTCGGCCAACGCAGTGATCGAACACGGGACCTCCAGGTTAACGAGCCAACACCCTACACACTGAGTCACCGTGGCTTCCACAATTTAATAACAGGATGGGGTCCGTCTAAATTTTGCACCATGTACATGTACAAGTTGAGTTCAGAAGTAAGCATTTGATCAGATTTAGAATAAAAAGCAAGAAAATATTATGAACATATTATATACATGTAAAACTATTAGTTTTCTTGCTTTTGAAGTATTCATGGTCTTTGTCTATTGTGTATTATTAATAATTTATGAATCTGACTTCAACCCTATACACACTTCATCTTTTATACCCGAACTCGTGAAATTAAAAGAAAAATTTCTCAACAAAGAAAGTAGGCCAGTGTCTTGAGTCATATAAACCAGTGAAAGTTTTCTTGCCTCCAGTTATGTTCACCATCAAAAGGCCAGGTGTAGGTCATATGTCAGCTAAGTTAATAGTCCTTTCCACTCTTGTCAACAGTCACCAACCTTTCATTATTTCATTTATTACTTCATTAAAGCTGAATGCCAGGGTCAGTGTTTAAAATTCTTAGGTGTAAACTTATACATGTACATGTACATACACACCCATTTTACATTGGGTGCACATGTTTCTTCATCTGTCTATTCAATGGTCCGCACAAGTCAGGGCAATATAGACTGGATATTGCAAATGGCTCCAGTTACTGATTTTGATTAGCCAAGGAATTGAACTCAGAGAGGTACATACCACTTCAGGAAAATGATGTACATGTAAATGGAATAAATGACAATTGGAAGTAAAAGTGGGCAATTACTAGCTATTGCTTCAATCAAGAAATGGGTCACCACTCTATAACTACATATACATATACATGTAATGTAAATTTGAGGGATTATAAACTTGAAATTAATTTCTCAGATAGATTGGAAAAACGGATGAACATTTATAAATGTACATGCATCTGACACAAATTTTTGCAAATGGTAAGATCTACAAGAAACACTAACGCACAGGACCATCTTTTTTTATCAGTTTCACATAGTCCAAATAATCAACAAGCCAGTCTGTCCCATGTTGGAAATATATTTGATGAGAGAGAGAGAGAGAGAGAGAGAGAGAGAGAGAGAGAGAGGGGGGAGAGAGGGGGAGGGATTGAGAGAGAGAGGTCCACTCAACACAAACTAGGTCATTTCTGGACTAATATACAGTTCAGTTTTATTTCAATAATTCGCTTGTGGGTAGTGGTCTTAAACTATGGGAGGAAACCGGAGGACATGAAGAAAACCCACAATGTTGGACAGATACCCTACTCCTTGTCAAGTAAAGTAGGGAATTGAAATCATGCCACTTGACTGAATGGCAGACCTTATGATCTAACACTAGTAACAGGCACGCATTCAGCCATTTACCCCCCCCCCCCTCCCCCGGCCACCCCATATTTGATAAGCACATGTACATGTGTGGTACATATATTATAATGATCATCCCATTTTAGGCCAACTGTGTACTGTCATCTTCTTGTCCAGACATACACATTATGTTGCCCTAACCTACAGGCAGAAATTAAGTTTCCACATTTTTGTTAGTTTCAGTGCAGTTCATGCAAGCCTATTGCAAAGATGTATTCAAAGTATACTTAATGACTCGAAAGCATATCTTTCACATTATTTTTAAGAAAAACATGATGATTTCTATACAGCTAGAGCCAAACCAGGAAATGACATGTTATTTGCAGGATTGCCACCTGGGACATGTACTTGATCTTAGGGTTGCACACGGTAGCCTATATATGGAGGCGGAGGCTTTCTGATTAGTTTGAGGGGTTGTCAATGATACTAGTGTTATGGTTTTCAATTTAACACTTGAATGTATCAAGTGATATGGGTGTCTACCTAACCTCTGTGTTCTCCAGTTTCCCCTACAACTAAAGAACCTTGCAAATAAATTATTGAAATTAAAATCTACCTGCTAGTTGAGAAATGAAGTATTTATTGTTGATATATAAACTTTATGAGCAATTGTATAATTTTGATAACATTAAATATTATCTTCATGTATCAAAGTAATACAATTATTTGTTTATTAACATAGTTTGATGTATCATTCCTAAAATTATTTGAATTGACATAATCTCCCATGTAGGATATTTAAACAAGTATGTAATGTGTAGTATATAACTGTATGATATTATAATACCAGTATGTAATGTGCATTATACATGTAACTATATAATTGTTAGGACTGGTGGTTTAAATATCAAGGATATCCTGTACATGTACCATATGAATTAATTCTTCCTGTTTTATTTTTAAACCTGGAAATAAGTCACTTGCTAGATATTACTCTACATAAATATTATGTACATGTACATAAAATGAAGAACTTTGTAATATGTATTTATTAGTAAGTCTCACCCTGGGGCTAAAACTTGTTTACAGATTACAAAGATACATGTCCAAGGGCCCAACCAAAAGTTAAAGAAGAAGTCCCAGTTTTCACTTGTTCCTCGAAAATGATTTCCTTTAACATGCAAATCATAGGCCAGAATGTGATAATCAGCTCAAAATATTGGAAATGATCATTGAAACAGTTTATAAGAAGATGGTATTTTAAAATAAAAGTCCAAGTGAATTTAGTTGCTATTATAATACATGTTCATGGAAGTATTAGATATTTGAGTTAATGCTATAGTCTAGATTACTAATGAAGAATATACAGTACAGGTAAAAGTAGGTTAAGATATATCTCATTACATCGTTAACTAGAATGATTATTGTTGTGAGAACTGTATAAGACCATACTATATATCCATTCTATGTATTTTTAACCCACTCAAACTTCTGTCTTCTGATATTTTTGGCAATTTCACAACATTCTTTCAAGTTTATATACATCTACCACATATTTATCATACATAACCCCCTTTGTAATTTACATCTCATACATTATGTTCAATAATATTGTATTATTCATTGATTTATTTTCAATATTGGCCAGGTGAATTATTCAATAATCAGATCAGCTGTCATGTCAATCAGAATGTAATGAACATAACAAATTGCTTTCCCTTCAGTAGAATGGAATGTACTTAATACCTATGTTGTATATATATAGAACTAGCCTACATAAGAAGGCCTATAGGCTATGTATATATTTATATACTGTACATCTATTGTACCTGTAATTTGTACTGATTGAACTGGCTGATTCCAATAACTAACAGCTGTAGAATAGGTAGACTTAGAACCACTTGGGTCATTTAGTATCAAAGGTTATCAACGGTTTAGGAAAGAAGATAATTCTAAAACAGAAATCTTTGTTCAGACACTATTTAAATTCTTTCACATAAAATTGACATAACCTAAAAAAAAATAACTTTGAAGAACATAATTGATCCTCAGCTAATCAATATCTCTTGATTCACTAGTCCAATTTTCATATTCTATAAGCCATGTTTTAAAGTCACTTCGAAATTGAACAAATTAACAAAATATGAATTTAAGTGATATAAATATACTGAGCATCAAATTTATGATAAGCAAGTATGTATAAAAGTACCAAAATATCTGAAATGAAAAACTGTTTTTCTAAGTACATGTAAATAATCACTGTCTAATTCTACATGATACCCATCATACATAAACTGCTTTATTCAAGCAGGCATGTACATGTACACCACACAAACAGTACCCAGAGGTTGAAAATAACAGTAGGTACACAACAAATTAATTCCTAAAACTTTCAGAATGAAAAAGATGTGAGTTTTTGATTATCTGAATGATGCTATGTAGTTCAAAATTAGGTTTTCTTCTATCAGCTCACTGACCATCAATTGGTCCTGGCTGTTGCCAGTTTTGCCATTAGTACCTTCCTCCTAAAGAGATTTCTGAATCCGTTTTTGTCCCTTATACACATAAATATACTGGTAGTACCATACAGTATGTGTCGCTATAATTAGAAATTTGTGTCCATCAATGAACTTTTTTGTATTCTTATAGATAAAGTATTTGTTTCATGTCCATACATGCATATATATTGTTATAGTATGTATTGATAAATTACTAGGTTATGAAATTTATAGTGAAGTAAGAATATTGATTTCCTATCCTGAAGTATCGTACAGCCTAACAACTTTTACGACTTTGATTTTCTAGGCTTTTGGTAACGCCAAGACAGTACACAATAACAACTCCAGTCGATTTGGCAAGTTTATTCAAGTCAACTATAAAGAAAATGGAATGGTCCATGGGTAAGTTTCCATCCAGTAGACAATTTAGAAAAAGTGGTATCTCGATGAAAAGACTGAATTTACGCAGATTGATTGACTAAATGTACAGATATATTGCCCTTCCTAAACTATTGTTTCGTATCTGATACATGAAGGTTATTATTAGTTCAATTAGTCCTGTCACTTCTTTTCCCCAAAACCTGACCCCCACCGGAGGAGGAAAAAGTTAATTTAACTGACTGACCGACCCTGTTTAATTTGGCCAAGTACCCGTAAACATGAGTATTATGTTTTTCCGGGGTTTGCGTGTTTATAAATAATGTTGTTTATATTATTTGTATAATTAATGAATACATTAGTTAAGTGTTTACATGTGTTTTAATGTCCAGTACATTCTTCACTGCTGTAGTCATTTGGTGGAAGCAAGTAAAGTTTTGTGCAAAAATTGGGAGAGCAGAGATCGATGAAGAACATTGAACAAAACTGTGAGGTTCAAACAAATCAATGTTGATGTGTTCATTTAAGAAGTTGATCAGAGACTGATGCAGTACACTGACATTGACATAATAAATAAGAAAACAGTTATATTAACTGAATTATTTTAGTGCAGAGGTACTTGAAGTCAAGTCTACAGACCAACAATATCTAACATTTCATGGTTTAATCAATTACTAAAATGTAATCGTGTTGATTATTTAACTCTCCTGGCTTGGTTTTAGTTTGATTAATAAGAGGCCCCTCAAAAGGTACATGGTGCTCCTAATGATGCCTCATGTCATTGTAATACAGAAGGAAATTGAACCATAATGTTTTGTACTGATATTCGTTTTAGAGATGCAACTTTCAGAATATTGTAATTCACATGGGATTCAAAATCCCACAATCAGCTTTATACCTAGAGTCTATACTCTTTCTAAAATAAATTGGCTTAGGTATCTGTGACTCACATGCACACCCATACACACCGGGTACCAGTTAGTCAGTGAAGTGGTAAGGAGTCATATCACAATATGAAAAAATATAGTGTATTATAAAATAAAAGGAGGTTAATATGGAGTCTTACAACTCAACTATTTGTTCAGACAGCAAATGAGTATGATAAGTCAGAAAATGAAAAAAAAGTCAATATTACTGTATATTACTGAATCTGGGCAATATGTTGTTTGTTTTTGTCCAAATATTTTCAATTGCTGCCTTAGGTGTATAACTCTATGGAGTTTAATCAGACTAATCTTGACTCATCATTCTAACTACTCAAGTAGATTTGTACATCACTCAAGAACCTTGGCCTGTTTATCACAGCATCTTACTCTACGAAGTACGTGTTTAGTAAGCTTTACTGCCAAAGATTTGTTTTGATAAAACTTAAAAATATTTTCATCGAAGACATTTGACGTCTATAAAATTGTGGGTAATCAATCAAATTTCATCATGTATTTTGATTTTGGTAGTTTGCCTTTTTCAAAATTCCCACAATGGTTATTTTGTAACCAGACCATTTCTTAATGCACTTAATAAGAATTTCCATAAAAAAGTGTGAAATTGTCCATTATTTAACTGAGAATGAAGAAATAATATTACTATTCCAGAAGTATTTTGACATACATGTACATATGTAGAATTGTAGATTTGTTAAAGGGATATAGTTTTATTCCTGAACTCAAAGAAAAAAAATCACCAACTTTTATATTGCCCTTCATTTATTTTCAAACATTTGTAAACTATTAAACAACTTTTATAGATCAGCAATCAAAATGTAATCATTTGAAAACTTTAATATTATCCATCATAAATTTTCAGTCCTAAAGTTGTTACTTGAAAGCTTATATTTATATTTTCTATTTCAGTGCTATTGTTGAAAAATATTTATTGGAGAAATCAAGAATTGTATCACAGGCTAAAAATGAAAGGTAAGACAAATTATATTCACATTTTATGTACTTGACATTAAATTAAATTCACAAGTCCTTTTCATATATTATAGTGTTAGTCAGGAACATAAAAGATGATCAGAATATGGCTTATTTTGTTTCAATTAATGGCCTCCTCTATAAGCATGGTTAACTTCCATGAACATGATCCCACACACTTCTCCAATAACTTGGATCGTTTAATTTAATAAAGATGTCTATAGCCCTATGGAGCTGAACAAATTCTTAATTTAATCTCTGATGCAGCATTTGGTTTATATTGATTTGCTGTAAAATATAGGTTTTGTTTAGTGGACGGAAGCTAAGAATAGCTCTGTAAACACCCCTTACACTATTGAGTTTCCATGTACACAGTGTCATGCATTGTAACCATGCTGAAAAGGGATTGCCAGAGAGATTATGCCTAGAAGTACATGCACTCAATAAAAAATGGACAAGATTTCGTTTTTTGAATAAAATGGCTGAATGGCAAAACTGTTTTTTTTTAAGACTATTCCAACTAGTTTAGATTTAATGGCTCACTTAATATACATGTTTGATTAGACACCAAAATATAATAGTTGCTTGCTGTAATACAATTACAAGGCCAAACACCACCTGATGCCTAAACTGTTTTTTGTTTTGAAAAATGTTCTTGACCCCATTTATTTTAAATGCCCTTTGATCACATCATTAAATAACAAAATATCATAGCTTTTTTGATACTAGAGTTCTCCTAATTAATTATGGTTTCTGGCTTCTGGACTGCAGTGTATTGCTGAAAAGTGTGTGTACTCTAGTTTCAGCTTAGTAGAATAATTATGAATAGAGGACTACTGCTGATTTAGAAATGGTTATATGGTTGTTTTACCATTAACTCTCTGTTTTTAATCATAACAATACTCTAGTGCCAATCGTATCATATATCATCTAGTATTATCTTTAGGGTGGTGTTTATCTTTACTCTACTGTGTAGGCAGCATCAAGAGACAAGTGACATGATTCTTTTTGCCTGAAATTTTTTTTTTTTAGGAATTTGGAGTTTCTGAATTTAGGATTTCCTAGGTTAGCAATGACATTTCCAATCTTATTTGCGGTGATTCATCAGTTGAATTTGCCAAAACATAAATGTATGGTTCTAATGACAGGGCCGATATCATTTTTAGGTGTGATGATATTCTGTATAAGTATATTTATCATAGAACATATAACTATAGCACCCTGCCATAGCTTAAGACCATTTGGCTGATTAAGTGTTATGGGCGGTTTCAGATTTCTACGGGTATCTGTTGATAAAAGAGGGTTTGAGTATGCGAATAAATCAAAAGATTAAATAATGTGAATAAAATGCCCAATTACCTTGCTTTAAAAGTTTAAATAAAAATATTGAGTTCTTCTGAAATGATTGCTAGCAGTGCTTAACCAATTTCATTGTTCAGTCAGTTGTGTGAGTGTTTGAAATTGGTTGGAAACTACTGACCACTGGGAAGTGTATAAATTTGTTATCCAGGCATTTACATACATGTACTACATATATAAGGATTTCATCATCTATATATATATATTTGTGACTGTCGTTTGTCTGTCTGTCTTTCTGTCTGTCTGTCTGTCTGTCTGTCTGTCTGGGGTTGGCGGCTACACTAGGTCTGCCCAGAGTCTGAAATTTGGGGTATAGGGGTAGCTCGGACCGAGGAGTAACATAGGCCAGGTGGCGTTAGTCTACCACTTCCGGTTTCGGAGTTATGACCCCCGAGCGAAGCCGGTCTGTTCGGGGTTGGCGGCTACACTAGGTCTGCCCCGAGTCTGAAATTTGGGGTATATGGGTAGCTCGGACCGGGGAGTAACATAGGCCAGGTGGCGTTAGTCTACCACTTCCGGTTTCGGAGTTATGACCCCCGAGCGAAGTCAGTCTGTTCGGGGTTTGCTGCTACATCTGCCCCGAGTCTGAAATTTGAGGTATAGGGGTAGCTCGGACCGGGGAGTAACATAGACCAGGTGGCGTTAGTCTACCACTTCCGGTTTCGGCGTTATGACCCCCGAGCGAAGCCAGTCTGTTCGGGGTTGGCGGCTACACTAGGTCTGCCCCGTGTCTAAAATTTGGGGTATAGGGGTAGCTCGGACCGGGGAGTCATATAGGCCAGGTGGCGTTAGTCTACCACTTCCGGTTTCGGAGTTATGACCCCCGAGCGAAGTCTGCCTGCTAGTACTACATACATGTAGCTAGAAATTTGAGGACTGTGCGTCTACCCCATATCGACATGAAAGTTTGTATTTCTTGAATCAATTATCATATGGCTTCAGACCCAGGGGTAGGATGAAGAATTCCCGGGTAAACAGTTTTATTGACTAAAATATATCTGGAACTTTTTCTATAATGTGTTACAATATACCAGAGATGTTCAAATACATTAGACATGAGAGCCTAACTGATTCTAATAAAATTGTTTGTATATATGTTGTACAAGCTCATTCATACTACAATGTTCATGGTTGCGGATGATGGTCAATCGTCTGTGAAACATTGTTTGTTCTTCCGTGGAGAACCATAATGATAGTAAGCTTAACTGAATTTAAATAGAAATATTATTGTAAACACGAAACAGATCAAAATGTGACCTAGTGTCTTGTTTTTTGTCCATGGTGTGTTTGGATTTTGGATTAGCGGGTTTGTCTATGATTAGTCAAACATCGAGTGTGTATAATGCGACCTTGCTGCATATGTACATATTTTTTAAGCCATACATTTCTTTTAGAGTTGAGACTGTAAGTCAGTTTGATCTTACTTCATGTATGTTGAATAGTTTGTCTAGGTATGGGTATTGATTTTATCAACATGTTGCTGATATCTGTCTTCTAGGCTGTCTTGGAGCACATAATTGGGGGTGTGCTGGGTGCTAATGTTTTTAACATCAGAACTCATTATTATGACTTTATTGGCATTTATTGAATTCCTGTCTGTCTGGTTTTCCTGACTAATCTATATGAACATTTGGTCAGTTGCAGGAACATAAGAATCAAGGAAAGATATGTTATCTGAAAGTTATCTCAACATGCCTTGCCATTACAAGATGCCTTATATAAGTCTATTAATTGAAATTCCTTTCACACTAACTACTGCATGGGATACAGTACATGTATGTAGATAATGGGATAACACTTAAGATATAGTTTGCACATAATCCTAGATCGTGATGTCTTCTGTAAGCTAAGATGATAAATGTTCTTAAACTGTTAAAGTGCAAATTTCAGATTATGATAAATGAGGTTATATAATGATATTTTCTCTGATCTTGGATAATTTTTCAGTAACTATTGACAGAAGGACTAAACATTATCATTAAATATAATCATGTTTTCTCTACTATGGTGATTGAAAATACAATGTGGCGAGATAGAGCAAGATTGATAATGCGTTCAGCTATATTAAAAATCAATATACTGTAACTCTATGCACTATGGATACATGATGTCATACATATATCTTAGAAATTATACATGGATTGTTGTTGTCTATATGCTTAAAAAGAGAGAGAGACAGAGAGAGAGAGGTCCACTTGACACAAACTAGGTCATTTCGGGACTAACATATGGTTTAATTTTATTTCAATAATTTGCTTGCGTGTAAGGGTCTTTAGCAGTGGGAGGAAACCGGAGAAAACCCAAGAGGTTGGACAGGCGACCATACTCCTTGTCACATACAACCAGGGATTTGAAACCACGCCAGTTGACTCAATGACAGGCCTTATGATACAGCATGCACGTGCTAACCATTCGGCCATCCAACCCCCCATATGCTTAAAGACCAACTGTATTGAAATGTATTAAAATAACCAGAACTCTTTAGTTAGGATAAAAAATTAATTAGTTTTTTTCACTGGATGTTATTTTGTTTTGTGGAATGAGATCTGTTTTACGTTAAAGATGAAGCCAGTGTCCGATCAAACACATCAGATTAAGCCAACTCAGGTACTGTATCAGTACTTTAAAATTAAATACATGTACATGTATGTATGCATGTACATGTCTAAATAATTTTACTGTAATATATTCGAATACAGACAACCATCTGGCAATAATTAATGCATATGTTAAAATGTGTGCCTGTCAAATATTAAGGATATGAATTTACATATATAAGAGATATGTGCATCAGTGATTTCAGTGTAATCATGTCAGCAGATATGTTATGGGTATTAACTATGACTACCGTGCTGTAAGTTTTAAATCATTAAAGAGCCATTATAAGATTTCATAAATTGGTATGTAATAAGTTATTCAGGTATCTCCACACCTACATGTTATTTCATGTTTTAGCATGCATGTAATAGGATTCTACTAATGTTAATCCCACGTCTATAAATTCATACCATGTAGTTCATGTATAATAATGATGTATTTTATATCATATCTTTGATCAATAACTTATTATCCCTACCATGATTATTACATGTATAGTGTTAGTGTGCAAAATGCAACATTTATCCAAATTAGTCATGGTTTCCACAGGTCAGTGTTGCGGAGGGCCAAAAAAAACAAAACATGGTCCTGTGTACATATTGATGTGCATGTAAAAGAACCCTTGATAGTTTGAAAATCAAAACAATAGTAGGCCATAGCGCCTCTGTCAAGGCAAACATTTCCTCATAGTATACTGTTTATGCCCGCTTTTATTAAACCCCATTTCATTACATATCCAAATTCATTCGATTAAAACTATGAATACCACATGATTTGGTCAATTTAGGTACATAAACATATTCGATTTGAAGTTTGATCATGAAATGAGTATGCAAAACCACATACATGTAGTTTTAATGAAAGTATGATTTTACATTTTAGTTGGTTTAAGCTCCAGTAACTGTAAATTCTCACTCTCAGTAGGCCTGGTAATACCAAGATATAAATCAGCTATTACCAGTTTCTGTAAACATTCGATCATACTAAACATCAGCTTATATCAGATGTAATATCGGCCATTATACCAGGATCTATTTTCTTAT